AACTGCGTTATGAGTTTTTTCCAGTTCTGCTCTTTAAGTCTCCAAGATAATAATTTCTCGAGATGTGCCGACTTTTGCAACCTCTAAATTCAATTTCTCAAAAAAATCGTTTTTAATGTTTACTGGAGCGTCATCATTTACTGCATATACACGAAACATTCTGCATTTATCTCCTCTAATCGTAAGGTTCATTTTTATCAGTCTCTCGTTTATGGCCTACCAAGTAGTAATTTTTTACCTTTCGTTTTGTTTCTGTGATTCCCTTGTAATCTCTGTGATCATCTACCCTTCGTCTGTAATCCTAGACAAGGAGCCCTTACAGGGTGCTATTAACCGGGCCAGTTGAACGCTGTTTTTTTTATAGGTGTTACTTCTCTTTTTCTCCTTTTTGATCTGGGCTTGGGACCGGCTGCATCGGTTATAGAGCTATTCAATTCACCCCATACCTATACAGTCAGAGTTTATTGTGTTTTATAATTTTATTAATTAATATTGTTAATTGTTCTGTCATTGCTGCTCAATCCATGAGCATTATACGATTAATTGTGGAAAACTGAAACTTGTATAATTCTGGACAAATTGATAAATTTTAAAGTGTAAAATATCATATTCCTGCTTTACAATAATTAGATATTCAATCAAATATAAACACACTACACGTAAATATATTTTGTAATTCAATTATAAACGCTTTTTAAGCAAAAATATTACCAGATGGCTGTAAAATAATTTAATCATTAGCAGTTACAATAGTATGGTAGATGTGAAAGCGGTTCGCTCAAATAAACATCGTTTACAAATAGTTGAATAGTGCTATAAACTAAAATATAATGTACCCGAAATAATAAACGGAAAATTCATTTTTAATTATTTAACATAGGTACAGTTTTTGAAATTACAACGAAGGTGTGGAGACACCCATAGGGTATATTCTATATTTAGCATATCATATTTAGCCCAGTCTGGTTAAAAAAGTCGAAAAATTTTTCGCAGAAATCTGAAGCTTTTAAGACCTATGTGGGGGCTACTATAAGATGTACTTATAGATGACGAATGGATGAAAAAGTACTCGTCTTTTTACCTTACGTTTTTAGTCACAATTTGATTATTTGTCTATAAGTTTTTTCCCTTAAATTTTATATAAACAATATTTATATCATGCTTTTATATCAATATCTTTATTTTCCCGTTTTTTTAAATTAAAATAAATAAATAATTTACGGGGATATTTGCAAAAAAAAACAGTTTTTTTCACTAATTTATAAATTTTACTAATTTTTTTATTTACAAAATAAAATGTTATTAATACATTTGAACATCGAGGGATTACCCTCTTTTAAATTTGGGCGAAATTTTCCCCCGGTCGGTCAAATAGTTTAAAAGTTATTTAATATATTTATCCCTGAGGCTAAATATTTAAACTATTGAACTTGCGCTAATGATGATAGACACATCTAGCAAATTGCATAGGATTCTTTAAGACTTAAACTAAGAAGTTAAATGCACATTGCGTTTACATCGAATTTATTTACAAAATAAACGTTTGAAAAAGGGGTATATTTTTTACTTATAAACAAATGTAATAACTTCCATATTTTTCAAGCTACAGACTTTTACGTACAACCATTGGATAGCTGGTAAAAAAACTCACTTTAAAAAAAAAACCATGACCAATAGGAACGAAATTAAGGACTATTTTGACGAAATTGTGGAGCGGGGCAGCTGCTACTCATCCCGCCTGTTTTACGCATACTAAGATATATTACCGATTTTTTATTATATAGATGACCTTTCTCCTATTCACATGAATACGTATAAAATGTAGGGACACGAGGATGCTATACTCTGTGATCGTTTGAGATATTTAGATCTAAGAACATAAATAAATGTGTTTAACGTTCTCGTACTGTACATATACCTATACTCATATATAAAAATATAGATCGTCAAACTAGTAAATAATTATAATTAATATAATGAATATAATAATATAGTGTGTAAAAAATTTCCTGAAATTTAATTTATAAAATATGTAAGTATTATTACATCATTGATGTAAAATGAAAAAAATATATGTTGATTTGCCGGGATTTTCAGAGATATCCAGAGGAGTGAAAATTATGTCATCATTATTAATACTGCGACAGACTATTCCAGCCAAATTTAAAAAAAAAGTAAGTTTTTACGGTGAATTTCAAATGGACTCAATTTTTCTGAGGTTTCCCATATTTTCCGGCCAGTCATTCATATTTCGACGAGCTACGCCAGATTAAAAAAAGGTTTCTAGCTGCAATGGAAGCCGAGATAATGTAAATTTTTCCTACGTGTTTCAATTTGAAGTTCCGATCTCGAAAAAAACGAAGCTGAAACAGTTATCCCCTCCACTTTCCTATGCCGATCTTTCGAAAGTACCTTCGTTTCGAAGAGCTGTAAGTTTCGAAAAATTTAATGAATTTTATAGTTACAATAGTTTTTAAAGTTTCAATATAAAGTTTAGATTTTAATTCAAAATTTGTGCAAATTTTACTTCTTAATGTTTATAAACAATGGAGATATGATTTTTTTAGAAATAGTCTCTAACTTCGTTCCTATTGGTCACACAAGGTTTTTTTTAATGTGAGTTTTTTTACCAGTTTTCCAATGGTTGTACGTACAAGTCTGTAGCTTAAAAAATATAGAAGTTATTACAATTGTTTATATTTAAAAAAACATACCACTTTTTCAAACGTTTGTTTTGTAAATAATTTCAATGAAAACGCAATATGTATTTAACTTCTGATAGTTTAAGTCTTAAAGAATTTTATAAAAGTTGCTAAATGTGTTAATAAAGCAAGTTCAATAGTTTAAATATTTAGCCTCAGCGATAAATAAATTAAATAACTTTTAAACTATTGGACCGATCGGGGGGAAATTTCGCACAAATTTAAATGACGGTAATTCCTCGATGTTCAAATGGATTAATAATATTTTATTTTGTTAAAAAAAATTTATAAAATTTATAAATTAGTGCAAAAAATCTGTTTTTGTAAATATCTCCGTAAATTATTTATCAATTTTAATTTAAAAAACGGGAAAATAAAGATATTCTTAATATAAAAAAATGATATAAATATTGTTTATGTAAAATATACCTAAGGGAAAAAACTTATAGACAAAAAATCAAATTGTGACCATAAATTGTTGCTTAAAAAAAATCAAGGTAAAAATACGAGAACTTTTTCATCTAGTAACCTCCACCTATGACTTAAAAGCTTCAGATATCTGTGAAAAATTTTGCCGTGAAATCGATGATTTTTGCATAACCAGACTGGACTAATTATATTAAATTCATAAATCATAAATTCATAAGTATTACTCCAAAATTCATATCAAACAGAGACACGTATTTGATTAGTTTCGCAATAATCATTGATTTTTATTCTGAACTCCAAACGTGATAACTTGAAAGATGGATATACCTACCATAAAGGTGATAATATTGCTCATCGCTTATAGTAGGAGAGCTGGTAGACATTTTTGGACAGGCATTTGAGGCATTCTAAAAATTGTTCAGATACCTCTTCCATAATAATCTAATTCAGAATTCGATTTTGATAAAATTTTGGGAATAGGCTCGACTTATCTCCTAATTCAGTCTATCCTATGCCGATATATAATTATTATTTTTTATGGGTAAAAAATGCCCCTTATTGCCAAAAATGAATAAAACTAGTTGTAACGTAAATCAAAGTCTATAGGCTTTAATAGCTTTTGATGATATTAAATATAGGTATTTTTATACTTTAAGACATTATTGTTGGTTGGCTGAATAATATAACCTTTATAAGCCACCCCTTTTGATAATAAAGCGTGTAAAAAAATGATTTATTATTACCTAACTTACCTATCTAATATAAATCAATTTAAACTTGAAAACAGCCCCATTTATTTATCTCTTTATTTATATGAAATTGATACTCTAACTAACTCTACTAATTTTTTTTTAATTTTACATCCCTTAAAACCGCCCCTCTTGATGGAAAATATAAAAAATACAGACAAAAATGACCATTGTAGAAAAAAAATTAATTTATACAAAAGATGTATAGAAAATGCGTAAAAACTTTAGAAAGTTAAAGAAAAACAAAATTGAAAAAAAAGTTGTTTGTTTTTTTACAATAATTCCGTTCATTTTAAAGAAATTTAAAGTTTTTTAAAGGTAAAGGGTTAAAGGGCTCAAGAAAAGTGATACTCGCGCTATCAACCCAACTTAAAGTAGTGATATCTCGACAGTTTTTGTGCTACAGTAACGAAAAAAATTTAAATTTGTCAAAAAAACCTACATGTGTGTATTGAATCATTGTTGTGTATTTTTTTATCATTTTCGAGTTACACGGAGAAAATGCAGATTTTTAAGAAAAATTAAAAATACGCTCTATAATTTGATGTTTTGAACATAGAAATAACAATAAAATAAAAGGTATTGTAGACGAAAAACGATGTATTTAAATTCTAGTGGATGTGGGGTTCAATATACTGGTCATTTTTTCTTAAAATATATGAATGATCAATATTTTTTGCAGTTTCAAAGATTCAGTTTCAAAAAAAGTTATAGAACATTTTTTTGCTTATAATTAGCTTCTAATTCTAATGATTCCCGGGGTTATTTTCACCTAAGAAGGGGTAGAAACCATCTCCAAGATAAAAGCATATTTTGACACAGCGTAGCCTTTATTTCTTGGGTCATTCCCTACATACTGTGAAAATATCAAGTAAATTCATGCATTAGGACGGAATTCGAACTGGATCGAACTCATTGACTGGACTAATTTGGCGTGAACAGTGGTATCTTTTCTGTGGATGGAGTTTTTGTAAACTTATTATGTTATTATACGTGAAAATATCCTCTTGCTTATAGAACTATGAATTTTCACGCTGATTTTATTTTTCTTTACTCATAGGCTGTAACAAAAAAGACCGACACGCATCTTAAAATAATTAACATAATTTATTTTTTACAGATCACTTCACTGCCAAGCTCTCAGTTAGAATGACTTCCGGGCCCGATTTTGTGGCTACAAATTTTACGTTCTTCGACTGCAATACTTACAGTTCCTGTACTCAGTGTGTTTCGTCTTCATTTCCGTGTGATTGGTGTGTTGATGGTCACAGATGTACCCACGATACCGCAGAAAATTGTAGGAACGATATTCTTGTTACTGGCATCAGCGTAAGTATATGATTTCATTCTACTAGTAGTCTAATTGTTTAATAAAATTATAATAATGTTTGGTATTGAATAATTTCAACATTAATAATCTATATAATATTTAAATTATTATGCGAACTTTACATTGGGTTTATGAGAAATGAATCCTCGAAACCAAACCTTACTATAAATTATTAGGAACTTTTTAATTATACTCCATTTGAAAATTATTGATAGCAAAGTTTTTATGACATAATATTACAGTAATTTTAATAAACCAATAATGTGGGTACGTACATAATCTTTTCCTCTTATTCTTCTTTTTCTTTTTATGTAGATATGACTCTGCTGTTTTTCAATGTGCCTCCAGTAAGTTGACGTGCCATCGTTTTCGTGGTCTTCATCTTTTTATTGGGAAACCATCTCTTGCCACTTTACCACTCTCTTTCTTATCATTCGGCTATATGTTCGTTAGAACGGGAGATAGACTGCTTCAGTTCTGTAAAGAAAATCGGTACAATATAATGAACAGCTTTTTCAAGTTACCACCCAGACGTCTCTACACGTGGAAATCTCCAGCAGATGGAATAGAAGGACGCATCACAAGAAATCAAATCTATTACATAATGGTCAACAAAAGATGCAAAAACGCAGCAAAAGAATGCAAGACATACCCCGGAGCTGACATCCCCACCGACCACAATCTTCTTGCAACAATTAGGATAGAATTTAAAAGAACAAAAAGAAATAAGCAAATAATAGCTATTAACCTAGATAAGCTTAAAGAAGAATCCACTAGTAATAAAATACGGGAAGAAATACATAGACACTTAAGTAACAGAACAGTACAATCGACACAAACTCCCGAGGAAGAATGGCACTATATTGAGAAAACACTTACAAGAGTAACAGAAGACTACCTCAAACAAGATACACGAAAAAAGAACAAACCATGGATGACAGAAGAAATTCTAAACATAATGGACGAAAGAAGAAAATACAGAGGTAAAAATGAAACAACATACAAGCAAATACACAAGAATATCAGAATAAAGATCCAACAAGCCAAAGAAACCTGGCTAAGTGAAAGATGCCAAGAAATTGAAGAGTTGGAACAAAGACATGATACTTTCAATCTACATAAAAAAGTAAAGAAGCCGCTGGAATATTTAAACAAACTCCTACGTCTTTCATCGAAGATAAACATGGGAACCCGCTACTGAACATAGAAGATCAAATAGGTAGATGGAGAGAATACGTGGAAGAAATGTTTCAAGACCGAGAGAGGACGAACATTTACATGCAGGAGGCATCGACTTGACCTTATATCACAAAGCAAGAAATTATCAAAGCGGCAAATCAGTTAAAGAACGGAAAAGCTGTGTTGCAAAGATATTACTAGACGAACACATCGAAGTAATGGAAGATATATTTAACAAAATATACGAAACAGGCATAATACCAAATGATTGGCTGACATCGGTGTTTATACCACTACCAAAGAAGAGAAACTCCAAGAAATGTGAAGACCATAGGATTATTAGCCTGATGAATCATATGTTGAAGCTTTTCCTACGAGTAATACACAATAGAGTATACAATAAACTAGACGAACACACTGGTCAAACTCAGTTTGGTTTTAAGAATGGGTTCGGAACAAGAGAAGCACTTTTTTCAATACGTGTGCTAGTTGAAAGATGTAGAGATGTCGATTCTGATGTATACTTGTGTTTTATAGACTTTCAGAAGGCGTTTGACCTGGTGAAACATGATAAACTAATAGATATTTTAAGGTCATGTAATATCGACGATAAAGACTTAGGATCATTTCAAACCTCTACCAAGAACAAAAGGCTAAAATCAGAATAAAACGCGAAACATCTGGAAAAATCAATATCGAGAAGGGAGTAAGACAGGGATGTGTCCTATCACCTTTGCTGTTCAATGTTTACTCTGAGAAGATATTTCAGAAAGCTTTGGAAGGCACCTCGGATGGTATAATTATAAACGGGCAATGTGTAAATAACCTGCGATATGCTGATGACACTGTCATACTGGCAGATAATGCTGAAGCCCTGCAACGCTTAATGGACTGAGTAACGACAGCCTGTAGAGAATTTGGAATGAAATTGAATACAAAGAAGACAAAAACGATGGTCATCAGCAAGCACCAAAACAGAAGGGTGAAGGTCAATGTCGACGGAACAGATCTGGAAAGAGTAACAAGAACAACTTACCTTGGAAGTAATCTTGATGAAACTTGGGACCACTCACTAGAGATAAGAATACGCCTGGAAAAGGCACGTACAATGTTTTACAAAATGCAAAAAGTTCTATGCAACCGCCAGCTGGGCATCTCATTGAGAACTAGAATACTTAAGTGCTATGTTTTCTCCACCTTGCTCTATGGTGTTGAAGCCTGGACAATGACAGAAGCAACACAAAAAAGAATCCAAGCATTCGAACTCTGGTGTTACCGTAAAACGCTCAGAATATCCTACATGAGCCATACGACAAATGCGGAAGTCTTGCGGAGGATGAATAAGGAAAGAGAGCTTATGCTTATAATAAAAGACCGGAAAACACAATATTTTATATCTGAATCCCATCTGTGTATCGTTAATATCGATATCTAACTTTTGATAGATTCGGTTGTGGATGACTCTAAGAAATATTTTAAGCAGATGACTCATCAAGGAGATTGTTCGATGATCTGAACATTGTATTGCCTTAGTTTTCTTCGGTATGGTGACAAACGTAGACAGCAACCATTCTTGAGGTATTATACCAGTATTGAATAGATATAATATTATGGTTACGGATTTATCATTCAAAAGCTTCAACAGTTCTGTAGGAATTTCATCAAGTCCATTTGATTTTCCATTTTTATCGTTTCTTATTGCTTATTCTATCTACTTGTTCTTTCAATATGTCTGGCCCAGTTGCATTGATTATCTGAGTTAAGTTGTTTCTATCGTCTTCAAATAATTCATTCAGGTATTCTGTCCATCATTTTATTTTATTCTCTAGATCTACAATAAGATACCTTCTTAAGGTCCACGAAACACAGATATGCCGGTTTGTTGTATTCTAATGATTTCTCTTGCACTTGCCTCATACTAATTATAGCGTCGCGTCGGTGCAATATTTTCCCGGCCAAAATCCTTATTCTTCTAATAGTGTTATAATTTCATTCAGTTTATTTGTTATCACTTTGGTTGTTAATTTTAGTATTGTATTTAATAAATTAATTCCTATGTAATTTTTCGGTACCTGATCTACATTCTTGGGAAATTCAGTTTTGCCCTATTATTTTTGGATTAGTTTAATGGTTCTTTAGTTAGATGTGGTCCTCCGTACTTGAGTTCGTTCGGTATTCTGTCCTCCTCCTGGAGATTTTCCATTTTAAATTGCTTAATGCTGCCTTTACCTCTTTCTCCAAAATAATTATTTCTTCTTTTGTCGTCACCTCTTGCGTTTGTGGTTTATTAGCGTCACATTTAGCAAATAGAGATCGAAAGTAGTCTGCCCATGTTTCCTTCTGATTGTGTTTCGTTTTGATAAGTTCATTCATCTCTTCTCTTTATCCTCTGATCATTCTCCATATTTATTTTTGTGTTCCGTTTAAGTCGTAGACCTTTACACATAATTGCAGGATTGTTAATTTAATATTAACAGCAAAAAATCATATTCGGGGTTTATAGGTTGTGTCTAAAATTGTTTGTTTCTAACGTTTCGTCTACAACTGCGCGCACATTATCAAAGGCGATAAGGTAGCGCACGTAACCTCCTGTCGCTCCTGTTACTAATCAGTTTGTGATATAAGTGACAGGAGTTTGCGCCGACTCGGAAGAAAGCTTTTCCATACCAGGACCTCACATACAAGGTACCAGTGGGCCTTATATTTATCACCATATGGGTGGTAAGGGCTTGAAGAATCAGTGCCACTTAACACTCGCACGGTGCCTTACAGAGGGACTTCGACCAGCTAATTCGAAGTCCACACTGAGTATCTTCCGTCTTTGGTGGATAATTAACATTTCTCACATGGCAAAAAAATAAATAAAACATAATTTAGAAGGTGGGTAAGGTCCAGCCACAGAGTCTAAATGTTCGGAGTTTCGGAGAACTGGAGCAGCGTTCCGACATCGGACTCCCAGGGTGCAGAGACCCTGAGTCCACACTGAGTATCTTCCGTCTTTGGTGGATAATTAACATTTCTCACATGGCAAAAAAATAAATAAAACATAATTTAGAAGGTGGGTAAGGTCCAGCCACAGAGTCTAAATGTTCGGAGTTTCGGAGAACTGGAGCAGCGTTCCGACATCGGACTCCCAGGGTGCAGAGACCCTATTTGGGAGCCGAGACCAGACTGACCGAGAGCAGAAAAATGTCGCATATTTTATAAGAATTTTAAAAGGCATTTATAGATCTAGAGATTTTCAGATCTCTCAGCCAATACAAAAGTTGGAAGATGTTTAAAGGCGGGGCGATGCGCATCAGGGTGCGTATTAGTCCATGGCTAAGGCACCAGGATGACAATATATTCCTAATAATTTTTAGCGTGAATGAAAATAGCCAAAAATGGTAAAAGTGGCGAACTAAAATTGTATCTTGAATACTGCAAATCTTAAAGACTTCTACCAAACGTCATTTTGAAGAGGAAGGATAAAATTTTTTTCTCCGTTAAGCAATGCCTATACCTATACCCCCGCGGAAAAAACTTGTGGGCAAAAAAAAAATCACGTCTGTTCCTGTTTTTTTGCTTGGTTTTTTGAATATATTTTTGTCAAAAAAAATTATTTCTAAATTTGGAGGGTGAAACTTTTCTGTAGATGCATATGTACGAAAAGTGCATAGAATTCACTCAAATACACCCTAGTGCGTAGGGAAATTCACCCCTTTCTTAAAAACGCGCCCCTTTAAATGGTAGTGCTTCGCGGTTTCTTCATATTTGGGTGTCCATTGATCACATGAAACAATTTTTTTGAACATAATCAATAACCTATTTCTCTTATCAC